AAAAAAAACAAAGAAAAAATATTTAAATCCTGATATTTTTTTGTATTTTAATAAAAAGTGAAAAAAAAATAAATTCTCAACTTTTTTTAAATTAAAATCATTAGTATTTCAATTTCAGAACGCACGCTAAATGCAATTAATAACAAAAGCAGGTAAGTCGTGAGTATTTCAACTTCCAGCAGTGATTTATTGACTGCTGCAAATTCGAATTAAGTAATTTTCGGAAATTGTTTATGTAATTTATTCGAACAAATTCACAAACTTTTTGGCATTTTTTGTATAAAAAGAAATTATTTTTTTAACATTAATTTATTCCAGTTTTTAGTTTTTAAAAGAAATACTTTTCACACAGATTTATTGGTTCTTAAACAGTCGAGTCGTTGTACTTTTTAATTGACGCTTCTCACATGAGAAAATTTTGCTTTTATTTTCGAAATTACAACATTAATGTTTTTGTTGCATTTATTTTTATAGCACTGTTTGAATTTTTAGAGCACTCATTTGCTTTGTTTTCGGACGCTTTCACTTTTATTGTACCAAATGTGCAACTTTATAGAAATTTCAGCAAACATTAAAAGTTATGAATATTTTCTTTTGTTATATTTTCAATGTCACACACGCTAAATTTATGCACCGCAAAGCGTAAATTCGTGAGCACCAAAAAAAAGTACAAATGGCGAAATACGCCCGCCTCGAAACACGAAAAAGTGGCAGTTAAAAGTTGAAAATTTAGAATGTAAAAAAAAGATGAGCACGAAATTCTTGCAGACAGTTGCGGCGACTGCAGCCAAAAACCAAATGTCAACGAAAGTCCTTCAACGCGTACAAAAATCGGGCACAACAATGCTTTCGGCTGTGATTATTTCTACTTTATTTTATTTCATTTGTGTTGCTGTTGTTGTTGTAGATTTTATAATTTTATTTTTCGGTTTTGTGTTGCACATCTGAGTTTTTATACGATTTTAATGTATGTGCTTGTGCTTGTTCTTCATGCGCTGGTGTGCGCTGTGTGTCTGAAGATCTTATGCGGCTATTAGGCGGCTGATTTCTTCGCACAAACACTTCACGACGACGACGCGGCGCGTTTCAAAAGCGACAAACGACTGACTGCTCCAACCATATGTCGCCGATATCAATGGGTGTTGCTGCCACTTGGTGGCTATTGCCGCTGATGCGATTGCTGTGTGGTGACGACAACAACAACAGCAACGCGAACAACAACATTGGCACACCGAAAACGAACGCAAAACAATAAAAGCCAAAATGTGAGGACAAACCGCGCTGATTTTTTATTTCTACAATTAATTTTTTTTTTTTTTTTGTATTTTGCTTTTGAATTCAAAAACAGACAAAACGACGAATGTCACAATGTTTGCGACAGGCGCAAAAAGCAAGCGCCCACAACAACAATGTGTGCATAAGCCACTAGCCACTAAATGAGATAAAAAGCAAAAACAAAAACGCACGATCAGTAGCAAACGACAGCACTAAAGTGGGCAAATACAAAAATAAAAAAAAAATGCAAAAAATAAAAAAATTGGTATAAAAAGAATTTGTCTTGCTTTTTTCCTTAAATCTGATGACAAACAATGTTTTTTTTTTTACAAAAACAACAATTTTATTTCCACTAAATTTTCACTTAAATTATTGTTGCGAGCGAGTGTCGTTGATTTTTCTGTCATTGTTGTTGTTGCAACCATATTGTGTGCTTTTATTTACCGTTGTTTTGCGAAAGAACAAATTTCGAGGTGAAAATTGCAAAAAAAAAAATTAAATTGGTACAAAAAATCCAATCCAAAGGGGCACTAAAGACGAGCGCAACAAGTAAGGTGGGCAGCACAGTGGACAGATATACGTCAAAACTGACACAATTTTGTTCTCTTATTTTTCAGAAATTCAAAAACAGCTTATAAACACTTTAACGTACCGTTATTATTTTGCACACAATTTCTATACTATTTGTTGTTGTTTCTTTTTTTCTTTTCGGCAATAAATAATGCAAATTATTTTGCAAATTCGTACAACTTATTCAATTGAGAACTTCGACCGACAATAGCGAATAGCAAACTTACTGGATGGCACACCACACACACAATAATCGAACGATCGAATCACTAGCAAAGTAAACCAAAAGCAAGCAATTCACGCCGCACCAACCGCTCAGCACGAAAGCTCTTCGACAAGTAAGCGCTCGAGCGCAAAAGCAACCAGTCAGCCGCCAGCAGGCCAACAACAACCGCCAAACGCTAAACTAAGCCCACAGGCGGTAGTCGTATGTATGTATGTATATGTAGAGGTAGGGGTACTCACCGCGTGGAAACACACAACCAAAAACATCAACTAAAAAAAAAATAATAATAATAATAACAATAAAAGAAATACACACTAAAAAAGACAAATTAGCCGCACTCGTACTCGCAGCTGGAACACGCGGACAGTGGCAGACGCACATACACCCATCCATAGGCATAGGTACAACAAGCAGAAATGGCAATAAAGCACGGGCGTTCGAAGAACGGTGGTGTGGAGCACAGCGAGTAGAGTGTACGCGGCACACACGCACACATACACAATCGGCTGCTCCGCGATCCTCCCTGCCCCACCCCTTGCCGCATTATAGCAACAAACACGCTAATGAGATAGCTAGCTGTATAGGTGTGCATGTATAGTGCCGCTGTGTGCGTTGTATTGTGAAGCCCGCGAGTACACGGCATATGCACACACAAAACGGGCAGCGGCAACTGAGCGCCACTGCCATCGGCTATGAATGGACCACGGTGAGACAAACACCGGTGAGGTGGTCGCAAAAAATCTGCTTGCTGCGTGACGACGGGCTCAAATGCCACCAATACTAACAAGCTGCGCTTAAGCGAATTTAAAACGCAGAGCGTTCGAGCGTGTGAGTGGAGAGCAATGCAAATACTCGCAGCAAAGCGCATGTAATCGAAAAGTAGTACCTACCTATTCACTAGTCATAACGACTGATAAGCGCGTCGGTAGGAACACACCACACTCTTAATTGAGATTATTTTTACAGGGAAATTGCATTTATTAAATGTGGTTAACCATTCCATAAATTAAAAATTTTTTTTTTTTTTTTTTGGTTGAAATAATATTGTTGGAGGAATAATTGAAAAGCTGATTTTGACGTAGGGATTCTTCTTCGGAACGGTATATTTTACGATACTTTCCATTGAAAATAATTGCAAGAATGTTTTATAACGAAGAAATCTATAAAAATCTGTCGTCGTACGGGAAAATATATGCACATTGATAATTAAGGGTTTTCACGGAACAAAATTTACAATTGGAATGCCATCTAAAGAGAAGTCCTTCTTTTGAATAGCAAAATACTTTGCAATAAGGCAAGAAACCTCTTAAATTGTTGAAAAAAAGAGAAAATCATAATAGGTTGAAAATAAATGGAAAAGGAAGATAAAATAACAAAAATTAAAGAAACAAGTAAAAACATTTATATACTCTCGCATGATAAAGTGATAATCGAGGGGTGGTTGTGAACCGATTTCACCCATATTCGGTACATGTCATCAGGGTGTTAAGATAATATTATATACCCAATTTCATTGAAATCAGTTGAGTACTTCCTGAGATATGGTTTTTGGTCCATAAGTGGGCGACGCCACGCCCATTTTTAATTAAAAAAAAAGCCTGGATGCAGCTTCCTTCTGACATTTCTTCCGTAAATTTAGTGTTTCTGACGTTTTTTGTTAGTCGGTTAACGTACTTTTAGTGATTTTCAACATAACCTTTGTATGGGAGGTGGGCGTGGTTATTATCCGATTTCTTCCATTTTTGAACTGTATATGGAAATGCCTAAAAAAAACAACTCTCTACAGTTTGGTTGACATAGCTATAGTAATTTTCGAGATATGTACAAAAAAGTTAGTAGGGGGCGGGGCCACGCCCACTTTTCCCAAAAAACTACGTCCAAATATGCCTCTCCCTAATGCGATCCTTTGTGCCAAATTTCATTTTAATATCTTTATGGCTTAATTATGACACTTCATAGGTTTACGGTTTCCGCCATTTTGTGGGCGTAGCAGTGGGCCGATTTTGCCCATCTTCGAACTTAACCTTCTATGGAGCCAAGAAATACGTGTACCAAGTTTCATCATCATATCTCAATTTTTACTCAAGTTACAGCTTGCACGGACGGACGAACAGACAGACATCCGGATTTCAACTCTACTCGTCACCCTGAACACTTTCTCTCTTTTAGTTTTAGGACTTACAAACAACCGTTATGTGAACAAAACTATAATACTCTCTTTAGCAACTTTGTTGCGAGAGTATAAATAATTACCAGGTGAGCTTAGGTCTAGTGACTGATGCCCAGACCATACTGAAATTATGGAGGGAACACCCCTCCCGCCAGGCGAACCGAATGACTGTGAAAGCATAACACCAGGAGATGGTGATCGATGACAATGGAGAAGATGTTTCATTCTCCAGGTTGATCAGAAGCGAAGCTAATGAATCTGGTAGTGATGGTGTCGTCGCCCTCGCGAGTTGGCTCCCACGTTACTGCTGACAGCCATAACTTCGAAGTGGAAGATAATTTCGTCTATCTTGAACCAGTAGTAACACTAACAACAACGTCATCTTGCCAAACAGCGAAAAGAAAGAGCGACTGACGCGCTGTTGTAAACTCGGCATTAACCGCGTAAGCGGTTTCTACGCCAATAAAGAAGAAGCTGATCTTAGGTCAGGAAGATTAACGGGAGGGGGTGATTAAGTTTTAAAGAGTTATAAATGGTTTATTTAGAATTCCAGCTATGGGTCCTAAGTGTACTCTTTTTCATCTTACTGTGATATTTTTTGCCTTCAAAAATTGTCTACCTGATTATAAAATAACTTCGCTGCTAAGGTATAAATTTCCACACAGCCCTCAACAGGTGCTTCATTCGCAAAAACTAGCGCACTCATGCTCGCTACAACAAAATGAATAATACGCGATAGCTTTAAAAGCTTGACTCTTCAAACTTGGAGTTACTCAAAGCAACTCTCAGAGATCTTTTCGCCGATAGAGTGAGTAATCGCACAAACCAGTGTGAGTTCTTAAAACATATGTATATGTATATATGTGTGTATACATGAGTATATAACTGATAAGATATGATAATTATCAGTACACAAACACACTTCTGCTGTGACAAACTAAATAAAGTTATTGTGAGTGTCTGCTCCAGTATTAATACTAGATAATTTTTCTAATATTTACTTTTGACTTGCGGTTTATGAAGTTTTATACTTTTTTTTCGCTGCAAAATGTATCACCTGCAATTTTACAGATACTTCAGTAAAATTTTACTCACTTGCTAATTGGATTCTTTAGATAGCGCAGCTTTATTTAAAGAAGTGCCTTGCGAACTTTTGCACAATATATAATATCAACTGACTAAACGCTCTCGAGCTTCTCTCTAAACGGTGCTTCTTTTTTAGTTCCATTTGCTGGAATCTACAAAAAACGAGCAAAACTTTTCTATATGACTTTACTTAGGCATAATGATTATCTTATCAGCTTGTAGTTTTAAGGCTGTGTATATAAATATGTGTGTGTGAGTGTGTTTGTAGAGGCTTTGTTTTGGTACACGTATGTATACATACGAGTCTTATATTTATTTTGGCGCTACTCGCGTTGATAAGATACTTGGGTTTACAATTTGGGGTTACAGCGATTACAGTGCAATAAGAACTTAGAGAATTCATCAAAATAAATTATGGAAGGGATTTTTTTAATATTTTGATTTTTAAATAAACCTACACATTTTCAAAGTTTCTGACTGATCTTGCTTTTGGGATCACCTCGTGCTCAAGATTGCACGATAATGGCATCGGGTAATGGAATCGATGACATGTGCTCAAAAGGAAACGATTATCTCTCCGACCTTTCTCGCTGCACGGACTAACATTTTCCCTCACTAACTCAACAGCGACCATATTCACAAACAGGTCAAAAGAGTACAAACTTGAGCTTAATATTGCACTCGATGGTGTTAAATTCTAAAAAAGTCACTTTTCAAATTTCTCTCCACCTACCACCGCAATTATTGCCAAAGTACAGAG